ACTTCTTTGGAAGATCAAATGCTGCAAGTTCAAATGGATAAGGCTAACATAGTCCTGCGCTTCCAGGGTGTGCCAGAGAACAGAGGAGAGGATCCTAAAGAACTGATGAGTGAATTACTAGCCCCAGTAGCAGAAATGAAGGCGGAATTGCCACTCAACGATATGGATGTGGCCTATAGGTCATATTCAGGATATATAAAGAAAAATAATCTGCCTGGGGAAATTGTAGTAAGATTTTCGAAGAGGTACGTCAGGGATGCTATCCTGAAAGCGGTCGCTGCAACACCCCTGAAAGCAGGGGAGAATGCTATCAGAACACTAAAGGATATTCCATTTGAAGTGAGACAAGCGGAAAGAAAAACAAAGAACTTGTGCTCTTTCACCAAACAAATTCAATTGGATACAAATGGCTATTTCCAGAAGGCGTAACGTTTAAGATCAAAGAAAAAAAAGAAAATATTGACTCTGTTCTGAAAGCTCAAGAATTCTTAAAGGAACAGCTGGGAAGGCCAGAGGACAAGAAAAAAGAAGAGGACAGTAGGTCCAGTGGCGAGCTGGAAACTGGTTCTTCCGGCGAGGACTCTTTGTCTGAGAAGGGGGCAGCTGCCCCGAAAAGCCCCTACAAGTTGAGGAAGAGAAGGGCAAAGAAGAAGTAAAGGCTGAAGGACTCTGAATTGTGCCTTTGAGAACTTTGGTTCTTGGGGATGATTGGGGGATACTGTTATTAGACAGTTAAATGTAAACTCTAAGGGTAAAAGGTTTTAATTTTTTGACTCAGTTTATAAAAGGAACAACGATAAGAAGACTTGATGTATTAAAGCTAGTTGGAGGATCTCCTTTCTTGGGTTTTTAGATAGTAGTGGGTACTTTTCTTTCTCCCGTATATGTAGTATTCCCCCCCTTTTTTCTGTTGTAGTTATTTGTAGTTTTAAAAAATTAAAAATCCCCTCCGGGGGCTTAAAAAAAAGATAGCTAGATTAGATTTAGATGAAGGTGGAGTAACAATTGGTGGAAGGAACATTAACAATCTGAGATATGCAGATGACACCACATTACTGGCAGAAAATAGTGAAGACTTGAAACAACTACTGCTGAAGGTTACAGCAGAAAGTGCAAAAGCAGTATTACAGCTGAACATCAAGGAGACAAAAGTAATGACTACTGAGGAATTACACACCTTAAGGCTGACAATGAAGAAACTGAAACTGTTCAAGATTTTCTATTCCTTGGTGCCATCATCAACTGAAAGGGAGACTGCAACCAAGAAATCAGAAGGAGATTGAGACTAGGAAGACAGCCATGAAGCAGCTAGAAAAGATTCTTAAGTTTAAGGATGTGTTGCTTGGAAGTGCAAGATCAAGATAATAAATACCATAGTATCCCCTATTACTATGTATGAGTGTGGGACAGTGAAGAAAGCTGACATGAAGAAAGTTGATGGGGTATTTTTCAGGTTTGTAGAAAGGTCTCTCTTGTCCATTCATTGCTCCAGTCACCAGATTTAAGTATCTTCATATTTAGCCAACATAGCTATTAGAATGGTCTTCCAGTGGGTGGATTGGCGATGGCGGTCGCTCTCCTCGAAGCTCGAGGAGGCGACTAGCACACCTTCGGCTTGGAGGGGTGCCACCTCAAGTGGCACTCCCACAGAACCCTTGCGGAGGGTTCCAAACCAGAGGGCTTTTGAGGGTTAGCCTCTTTGACGGCTTGAAGCCATGGAATAGAGGCTTCCCTCCGCCCTGATGGTCCAGCCGATGAGTGACCTATGGGTGTAAGTCAATCTGACTGGGACAAGCGCAGGAGATCAAGCGGAATAGCGATGGAAGAGAGCGAGGTCAGAAGTGACCAACAATGAACGTGAGTGAGAGATAAACGGACTGTTTTTGTAAAGCGAAGCCCCACCCCCCCTGTGGAGAAAGCGGAGTGCAGGGAGGGACGCCTCCTGAATGATTGAATAGATCAAAGAAGTGAAGGGGGGGAGAGGGGAGAGAAACAGCGTTACATTTTGAGAGACTTACCTGAGCTTGGATAGAGAAACGATGAGTCTTTCGAGCTCTGAAACAGAGGTGTTGAATTGTAAACAAAGAGAGAACATGGTGGTTCCACGAGGGAAAATAAAACCGAAAGGCAGCCAGAGTCCAAGTTCGGAAGAGGGAGCAGACGTCATGAAGACGTTAGTGGATATGCTGAAACTGGTAGAGATGGACACCGGGAACAAGAAGATGAGGAAAAGAGTGACAGAGGTGGAAATAAAACAAAAGTTGCAGGAAAATCATTTACTTCAGCTGCAAATGGAGAAAGCAAACATGACTCTCAGATTTCAGGGACTGCCTGAAAAGGAAAAAGAAGATTTGAAGACGACTCTGGGAGAGATCATCGCTTCAGTAACAGGCTTATCAGCGGATGAAATAATAAAAGATATAGAGTCTGCCTATCGGGTATACTCTAATTACATTTAAAAAAATAGTCTGCCTGGGGAGATTGTAGTCAAGTTTGCAAGAAGACAGACCAGAGATGTTATATTAAAGGCAACCCCGGCAAATCCACTGAAATCTGGGAATACAAATATTAAGACTCTAAAAGACATCCCATTTGAAATCCGTCAAAACAGGAAAAGCTACAAAGAATTAATCTCATTTCTTCAGACAAACGGAATACAATATCACTGGGCGATCATTGAAGGTGTCATCTTTAAAATTAATGATAAAAGAGAGAAGATTGACTCCATCTTTAAAGCAAAGGAATTTTTGAGACGACAGCTGGGGCCAGAAGCAGAACTAAAAGATGAAGAAACAAAATCGAGTGACTCTGCTACCTCTGGAACGGGGGAGGACTCTGGGGAGGATGCAGGTGTGGGTGCGGGAGCAAGCAAAACGGTGTATGATTTCACAGAAAGAAGACAGAAGTAAGGGCAGAAGGACTCTGAAAATAGCCCTATAAAAATAAGATGCTCAAGAAGTGTTCTCAAAATATTAAAATTATTAACATTGAAGCAGTAGTTAAAAATAACTCACAAGTATATTGTTATACTAACACATATTTACTAACATGTAGTTTAACACAGAAATGATCTCCTACTCTTGGGTTTTTAGTTAGTGTGGGTACCTTTTCTTTATCCCTAGTTGTAGTCCCCCTTCCTATATTTTTTTCTGTAGTTATGTAGTCTATTGAAAAACCAATAAAACCAATAGTTATGTAGTCTATTGAAAAACCAATAAAATTACTCTCTTGGTGGTTTCAAAAAAACAACAACATAGCTATTAGAATATATGATGATTAATTCATAGGGTCATTAATTAATTGGATTGTTATAGGTTGGAAGTGACTTGATGGCACTTAAGACACACACAGAATAGAGAAAGAGACAGACAGAGAAGATAGTCCTTACCTTCTCTAATGAAAATAATCTCAAACAGCAGGGCAGGGAACATCTTCACCCTGAACAGACAATACTGGGCTAGATGTACCAATGGTGTGACTCCATATAAAGCAACTTCACACATAGGTACAAAATGGATACATAATGGTACCCTGCTATAAATTATTCTTATTTTGCAAATAGCTTTACTTTGAAAGGAGATTTTTAAGAATATCTAAACAAAAGTTGACTAGAAAGAGAATCAACCCCCCCAAATCTCAATGCCTAAGCAAGAAGTAAGATTTGCATAATATTACTCTTCTAAGTAAACAAATTTTCATAAGCCACAACAAGAAACTAATACAAATACTACTGCATTCAGCAAATTGGGTGACTACCTCACAAAACTCTACTATGATTTAAGGCATTTATATACAGCCTTTCCACGTTGAAAAGTCTAAAAAACTATTTCACAAATATTAAAATATTAAAATTACAATAAACAAAAAATTAAAAATGAGAAAAGTGCACAGTATTCACTAGAAGTTTTTTTTAATCTCTGCATTAGAAAGCTAAACTGGCAGGCATCTTACTCTAAAGAAAAACAAATCCTTTCCTTGAACATGAGTGAAAAAGCTAAAGTAAGGAAGTGTAGAAGAAATATAAATCCTTGGCTTGGATCCACCAGAGCATTCCCATACACAGAGCAATTTTCACATGCAGCATGTGATTTTCTTTCCTCCCGGCCACAGTCCAAAATACCCACAGAAATGCTGGGGGGGAGGGGAGATAAGATGGAGGGGAAATGACACTCTGCAGGCAAAAATCTTTCTATCCTTTGAAATGCTCTGATGAATACAAGCCCAGTTCCTATTTACTGCCAAGTTGGAAATTAGAAACGATTATATGTAAAGTTTAGCTACAAACTAACAAAAAGACTGAATACTTTTTTATACTGTTTTAATTGTTTGTTATGGCATTTGCCGCTGTTGGAAGCCGCCCTGAGCCCATTTGGGGAGGGCGGGATACAAATCGAATAAATAAATAAAATAAATAAATAAATATCCAATACAGAAGTTTTTTTAAAAAAATCTGGGCAAATGAGACAAGACTAGATAAGATTTAGAATAAAGACACCATAAGTTTCTAAAGGCAGTTTGTTTACTAGTACTGTGGGGGGGAACCTATTTCTAGGTCACCATTAAAATGAGGCAAGAATCTATGAACTACAATTATTATGTCATTTGGCTGAGGAGAAGAGGAATAGAGGGGAAGATTTGGTCAAAATACTAAATAAAACTGGTCCTTGCCTAACTTTTATCAAATTAAGACAAACTGTCTGTTCTTGTTTTTTTCTGTCTGATCACAACATGATATTTTTGCCAGTCAACTAATCTTGTTTCCAGCTTAATTCTTCAAAGTTGAATCTTGTAGATACACACGCACACAGATTCAAAAGCTCAATAACTTCTGCTATGACAAAAAATAACCACATGCTCAACATAAGATTCACACTTAAAGGTGATCATTTTGTTAATTTCAATTTTTTATTAAAAAAAAACAACAAGCTGAAGTAAGGATAACCAAGTTATCCCAGACCAAAGATATGGAGAGATACTATGGAAAGTGGAATATGTCTTACCTGGGTTGTTATTAACATTATTTTTGGGTGGTCTAGGTGTTGGCTTGGGTAGAGTAGTTTCACTCAGAGCTTTGCTAGCAGCAGAATGATGAGCCTTTTTAATACTGCTTCCTTCGGCTTCCCATGACTGCTCTCCAAGAGTCAGCTGCACTGTGAACATCTCCAAAGATGTAAAAGACAGATGTCAGTAAGATCAAACCTTGTGAAACAGTCTCCTGCAAAAGAACTCTATTCCCTGATATGTAATGAAATCTGTGTCTAAATATCAGCAAATGCTTACAAGCATTTTGACTCAGGGATGAGATGCACATGTGTTGGGTATTACAAGTTGAAAACACTCAGTATATCTGGGGTTAAATGTTTGTTTATGTTACTCACAGGAAGTCACACGTTTCTCATGTAACCAATGTTCTTTAGATGTAGAAAGCCCGGGAATTTTCTCCCTGATCTAGGAATTTGATTGGGACTAAAGTGTCAAGGTATATTACCATTTTATGGCTTCTCTTCCCGTCTTTGTTTGGTGTTCTGAAGAACAAGAAGAGTAGCTATAATCTTTCTCTTCTTGTTTTGTCTTTCTAGAGTAAGGATGTAGCTGATTTAGCTCTGTTGTTATTTTTATCCCAGTTACCCTTCCCATGCTAGAATTTAGTAAAAACTTTATATTTTAATCACACATGGACTCTCAGTCTGAATTATTTTACTCTGGCTCTGCTGGACTATTTTTTCTCTGCTAAATACCAATTTTTCAATATCTCACTATCACCCAACAACATGGAAATAACTTCAGAACTAGAACTAGTGTAGACTGAAGTTTTTCTTGCATATTTTCCACTATCAGTGTGTATGTCCTTTGAGAAAAAGCACCTTTTGATTCATGAGATACTGCCCACAATTCTGGCCACAAAGGTTACAGCAAGCATCCCGTTTCCATCCCATTTGCCATGGAAGTGGCACTTGCGATTGCTGGTGTGATTGCGCCGCGCCGCTTCTTTGCTGCGCTGCAGGATCATCGTGTGATCGGCACCTGCCCCCTAACCACGGGACCTTGAAGGGATGTCTGATCGCGCAACCGCGCGTTATTTTACTCCAGGGCAAACAGCCATGCTTCCCCCCCACATTTTCCGGCCCGTATGACCAGGGCCACAGTCTAGTTCTTTCAAGGTTTATTTTTTCTTCACAGCAGTCTCATCTATTCTATAAAGTATAACTAGGGAGATGGCTATACATTTCTTTGCATAATGAACCTAGTTCTTTTGTCATGTTTAAAGTATTGATAAATGAAGAACTAATAGTACATTGCTTCATTTTCTGACTTAGCTGGTTTAGCCCACTTATTGTAAAGGTGATATATCACAGCCTTGAAAAAAAAAATTGTGTGGATGGTTCTCAGTTAGCTATCCCTGCATGGCTACTCCTACATTTGTGCTTTCCCTATCCAATAGGGGGAGAGAAGCGAACAGGTAAAATTTAAGGACTGGGATTCAAATAATTTCATTTGAGAGATTTCTAAAAAGCAGACTAAGGAGGGAAGGCTGCATGGTATACCCCAATCTTGTTAGATCTCAGAAACTAAGCAGGGTCAGTGCATGGAAGACTCTGCAGAGGATGGCAATGGCAAACCAACTCTGCCCCTCACTTGCCCAGCCCCTTTGCTGGAGTCAACTGTGTCTTGACAACACTTTACATAACAGCTGGAGTCAGCTGTGACTTGACAACACTTTGCACAACAGCTGGAGTCAAGTCAGCTGTGACTTAACAACACTTTACACACACACACACACAAAGGTTACAGCAAGCAAAAATTACTGTTCTGAATAGGTAGTTTAAAAGTTAAGAAATGAATACAAATACAAATGTTACCTTTGCATGAGCAGGTCCTTGTTCATTCAGAAGCTTATACAGAGGCTGGATTCTATTGAAACGGGCTAACTCATTTACCAGACACATCGGTGTTTTCTCTTTGGGGTTTGCCATGTTATCTTGGAAAGGAACTGTAAATAAATAATTGACAAGCTTTTTATACTGCCTTTTCAGATATAATAACATGTATAGAAAAGAATTACTAAAAATATGGGTTAACTAGAATATCTCAGACACTCTATTGTACACAAAACTCCATCTGGATTATTATTGTCTATAACAGAAATTTGTACATTTTTAACATAAGTTTTTAGAAAATCTTAAAATCAGAAATTTGATTGAAACATTCTAATTTTAATAAACTACACTCCTGAAATTTAAAACCTGTTGTTCTTGGCCTTTAGAGCCAACTTTAGCATTTACTGTTTCCCTGGTTCTCTCTTTTCTCCTCTCTAAGCATGCTAAATCTCTGTTGCTTAAACCCAGGAATGCTTGCATGCCATCAAGTTTGCTAACTGTTTGTTTCTCTGCACATTCTCACACCCCCCCCCCATTCTCTTCATGTTCAACACCAACACAAACTTTCACTGCAGGTTTACTTTGAGGGGCCAGTGTTCCAATGTACAACAACAGGAGCTACATTTTATTTACAGGGCTTCAAAAGAAGTACCACTTACTGCCAAAAAGACTGAGACATTTTGTTCTAGAGAGGAAATACAGCTGGATCACTTCCTGCAGTCCTAAACATTCCTCCACAAATACTGATTTAGCTATTTTGTGCAAATTGCCCATTTTGTGCTTATTCCAAACACCCTAATGTTGATTACACAAATAACAAAAACAGCTAAAACCAATCACTCACTTACCCAGTGAGCCGGTACAATCCACCAGACCAGTTGTGGAATTATTACAGTCTATAGCTAACTCTGGAACAGATCCATTCACAGAGGGCTGAAGACCTACTGAACTTGTTGCCATTACGGATGGGGCTGGTGTTGCTGGGGTAGTCAGAGCAGGTCCAGAGTGGTTTGTTGTGGTCTGTGTTTTGACTTGTGCCATTATTCTTTTTTTTTTTTACTGAATAAGAAAACAACAAATATATTAGAACGGTGTTGTTGTTTTTGCCTATCCTTCTATCCCCAAGGGAAACATCAAATATGACCTGTAGCCCAACACCAGCATTCAAAAAAAGTTCTTCCATTAATCAGTTTCTCGGTATCCAACCAAACGTTAAAGAATATAGCAAAACACAGAAAGATCTAGGTACTATAAGTGTCTGATACTGAGAAAAATTATAGTGTTCCTAAATTAGGTATACTTGCTTAAGTTCTATTGACCTTTACATCAGCTCAGAATAAACTCTCAATGATGCCTCATATTTAGCAATGGTAAGAATGTGAAACTGAATCCAACCAGTTCTTCCATTGGTGAAAAGGGAAGGGTTTCCCTCACAACTCCAAAAAGACTGTGTTTGGGATCATGAGACCTGCTTGGACAAAAGCCTGTGAAACAGAAGCTGCAATAAGGAGGGCAATTGGCTGAGACAGAGTGAAAAAGCTGGCTGAATCTGAGACCCCCTTTAGTACCCCCATTCTGCAGAGGTCTAACAAAGCCTGAACCTCAGCATACTTCAGAAACAATTAATTTTCTGGCATTCAAATAAACATTTAGTTATCAAAGATATGCAGGAAGTTTTTTGCTTAATGGCTGGTTTCCTTGGTAATATATGTATAAGAGATACATTATTTTAAATCTGTCCTTTAATTCACATGACAAATTAGCAAGCTAAATAGATAATGTTGTTCCTGATATCTAAAAAGTGGGTAGCATTTACAGTGTTCCAATCACTCTAACACAGCCCCCTAGGCAGGAATTTTTCCGGGGTCACTGGGGTTGCTAATTAAATTAAATTTAAATTAAATTAGCGGAGCAGGGGAGTGGGGGGGGAGGGAGAGGACTGGAGTAGTAGCTCCTTACCCCGGCCAGCTTTGGGCCGGCGCAGCACAACATACGCTCAGAACGCAGATTCTTTGTCAACTGTTACAGTGGAAGAATCAAACTTTGCTCTTCACTTGAGGGCTACCATGGAGGCAGGTCTTTGGGGGGGGGGGTCCACTCTGCCTTCAGAAGATTTCATAGTCACTCTGTTGCAGAGGAGAAAGCAGGGTCTAATCACCTGTAACGGGCTTCCCTCCAGGAGTGTTGGGAAACAGCACACTGTCTCTTTAAGGTTGAAACGTGTTGCTGGAAAGAACTTCTCCACCCCCCTGCCGCTGTCAATCAGCTGGTAGCTGCTTTAATGTTGCAAACTTTCTGCAGGGGCTCTCTTGTGCTCTCCCTGGCTCGTGCACTTCCAAGCCTTCACTCACTCAGGCACTCCATGCCTTTTCCAGCAGAACCCTCTGGCACTGCGGCGGCTCCTCTCTGGTACAGACTGCTACTTAGTCAAACTTTCCTGGGGCTGGAAGGGAGGGACGATTCGATAGGGGGCACTGCCCCCAGCACCCCACTGCTGGCTACAGGTCTGTTCTAATAGCACTTTTAATTGCAAAATGTCTAATAATACTGAAGTCATTCCTTCTCATAATGTCCCTGTTACTTTTTCTAATAAACTGTGAAGAACATCACTCTTATTCTTAATAAACAGAAAGGTATTCCTATTTCCTGTTTTCATTGAAAGGCTCTCAAATTATTCAATCAATCTGCAACAACCTGTGTCAGTTAAAACCCCATGGCACATAGGAAATGTTTAAAATGACTGAGTTCTGTAATAAAGATGAGATACTCCTACTGATCAGGGTTATACCAACAGAAAGTTTAGAAAGTCTGCAGAGGCCACACTGAGCCCAAGTCTTCAGTGGATTATCGGTTAACTAAGCCAATGTCAGTCAAGGAAACTTGGCATCTCTACATGCTCTGACAGTTGCATTAAAACAGGTAGACACAAAGAGTTTCTGGGAGAACCAAAACAGAATTCAATGTTATGTATACTTTGCTATTCTGGCATATATAAAATTATTGCTTGCAACAAACTATGTAAGAACATGAGCTCTGCCGGTTCATATAGCTCAGCAGTGTCTACCGTGATTAGCAGTGGCTCTCCAGGTTCTCAGGCATAGAGAAGTCTTTTTCATCACCTGCTTCCTAAGATCCTTAAACTGGAAATGCCAAGGACTGAAGGTGAACTTGCTGCATACAAACCAGATACTCTACAACTCAACCAAAGCCCATCCTAATCATGCAGTGTCAAGAAATGTCTCTAACGGGAAATTTGTAATGTTTTGTTTGCGGGAACTAGAGAAAACATTCCCCTTAGACCTGGTTTTATTATACTGGGAGTTCTGGAGAGCTTATATTAGAACAATGTCCCCAGATGAATGACAGCATTCCATTCCATACAGGGGATGGGATGACTGTTACAATATACAAACTAAAATTCAGTCAAACTAAAATTCAGTTAAGAAGCCATTTGTGGACCTCAAATAAAAACTACATACATAGACTAAAACATTGACCTCCTTAATTTGGGGAATGGGGTTGATGCAAAGATTTTAAGTATTTGGCCAGGATCAAAATGCCCATACAGCTCTCGGTATGCTCTCAATGTAACTTTAGACATTGTTTGAACATACCTGGCTCAATACTGCATGACAAATTACAACCAGGTTGTAATATACCATTGGGTTCAAAGAAAAGCTTAAAATGTGTGATTTGCTCAAAGCAAGGTGGAGTTGATGATTTTGTATGCTACGTATTATTTGTGAGAGAGAGGACAGAGAGAAACTCCCGATTTTACAGAGCAAAATCATATGCAGTTATACCAGTCTAAGCCCACTGATGGGCTTAGAGTGGTGGGAGAAAGCTGTAAAGGTAAGGTATCAAGAGATACTAGGTAAAGCACTTTTAATGACCCAGCATGCTAGAACACTGCTAACCTTTTGGTTTTCTAATGCCAAAACAGAACATCATGCTGCTGGAACTCTTACTTTGAAATACTTTCCCTCAATTACAATGGAATTACCCAGGGGTCATTTTGTAGAAAAAGAGGTGCAGGAGCTCATTAGCATAACTTATTTGCATATGCCACACCCCCTGACATCACCGGAAGTGTGTCAGAAGGCAACACCCACCACTCAGGCTCCACTGGACTGTTTTGGATTGGTAGCTATTGGGGGAGGGGGAACGTGCAGATCTGCCCTCACAGAGGAGGGAGAGCTTGTATCTAAAGGCGGGCTGGGGGGGGGGGGCTCTGCAATTTACCTGGCTGCTTCTTTCTCCTTGTGGGCACACTGAGGGCTGCTGGGAGCAGGGGGCGGGGCTTGTTGCATGTGCCCGCCCTCTGGGCTCCTTACTGCCGGAGCTCCGCTCCTGTGCGCTCCCGCAGGAAATGACCCCTGGAAATACCTATCAAGTTTGAATCACCTGTACCACTGGCTCACTTTACAAATGCATTTATTGACATATTAAGTTTAAATTTACTTCTGTTAGCATAAAACAGTATCTCTACACATGTCCTCCAGCTCCCTGCAAAGATATTCATTGTCCTATTATGGATTTCTATGCTTATGGCAGCAAATGATGGAAAGCAAGCTCACAGCATAAGCACTCCTATAGCGCAATCCTAATGATTTCCATGGGCTTAGAATGGAGTAACTCGGCATAGGATTATACTGTTAGAGTTGCTACAAGGTAGAGATTTATGATGGGAATGCTGTTTTCAGCAGCTTTGTACCTGTTACGTGCAACTCTGTGCTGCTAAGACAGACATCAGGCTAGGTACTCTTGAAATAAAAAATCTAGATCAGAGGATTCATAAATTTAGTCCAGCATGGCAGTTATTTTCTTAAGGTGTATCTTACGGTGAATTCTTTCAAATAGCTGTCTACTCCTGCAGCAACAATAAAATAATTAATGATCTGGAGTTGGGAATAAGATGTGAAGTGGCTAAATTTGCAGATGACGTAAAATTGTTCAGGATGGTGAAAACCAGGGAGGATTGTGAGGCACTCCAAAGGGATCTGTCGAGGATGGGTGAGTGGGTGTCAACGTAGCAAATAGGGTTCAATGTGGCCAAGTGCAAAGTGATGCACATTGGGGAAAAAATCCTAACTATAAATGCATGTTGATGGGGTCCGAACTGGCAGAGGCTGACCAAGAGAGATATTTTGGAGTTATAGTAGATAACTCAATGAAAATGTCTAGACAGTGTGCAACTGCAATAAAAAAGGCCAACGCTATGCTAGGGTTTATTAGGAAGGGAATTGAAAACAAATCAGCCAGTATCATAATGCCCCTGTATAAACCAATGGTGCAACCTCATTTGGAGTACTGTGTACAGTTCTGGTCACCACACCTCAAAAAGGATATTATAGCATTGGAAAAAGTGCAGAAAAGGGCAACTAGAATGATAAAAGGGTTGGAACACTTTCCCTATGGTTAAAACACTTGGGGCTCTTTAGCTTGGAGAAATGACAACTGAGGGGTGACATGATTGAGGTTTATAAGATTATGCATGGGATAGAGCAGGCATTCCTTTCTCACAATACAAGAACTTGTGGGCACTCAATGAAATGCTGAGCAGTCAGGTTAGAATCACAAGCAGGAATTAAGATTGCTGGGGAAAAGATCAACAACCTCAGATATGCAGACGATACCACTCTAATGGCAGAAAGTGAAGAGGACCTCAAGAGCCTCTTGCTCAGGGTAAAAGAGGAGAGCGCAAAAGTGGGCTTGAAGCTCAACATCAAAAAAACTAAGATCATGGCATCCGGCCCCATCACGCCTTGGCAAATAGAAGGGGAAGTCGTGGAAGTAGTGACAGACTTCACGTTCCTGGGATCCCAGATCACCACAGACTGTGACTGCAGCCATGAAATTAAAAGACGCCTGCTCCTTGGGAGGAAAGCGATGGCGAACCTAAACAGCATGATAAAAAGTAGAGACATCACCCTGCCAACAAAAATACGCATGGTCCAAGCAATGGTATTCCCAGTAGTCATGTATGGCTGTGAGAGTTGGACTATAAGGAAGGCCGAGCGCCGAAGAATAGATTCTTTTGAACTATGGTGCTGGAGAAGACTCTTGAGAGTCCCTTGGACTGCAAGAAGATCAAATCAGTCAATCCTAAAAGAAATCAACCCTGACTGTTCCCTGGAAGGCCAGATAATGAAACTGAAGCTCAAATACTTTGGCCACCAAATGAGACTGGAGCACTCACTGGAGAAGACCCTGATGCTGGGAAAGATTGAAGGTCAAAGAAGATGGGGACGGCAAAGGATGAGATGGTTAGATAGTGTCATCGATGCAACGAACATGAAATTGAGCCAACTTCAGAGGACGGCGGAAGACAGGAGGGCCTGGCGTGATCTGGTCCATGGGGTTGCGAAGAGTCAGACTCGACTGTGCGACTGAACAACAACAGGTTAGAATGGATAAAAGGAAGTACTTCTTCACCCAAAGAGTGAATAATGCGTAGAATTCACTGCCACAGGAGGTAATGGCGGCTACAAGAGGGAATTAGATAAACATATGGAGCAGAGGTCCATCAATGGCTATTAGCCACATTGTATAGATAGGAACTCTCAGTCTGGGGCAAGTGATACTCTGTATTCTTGGTGTTTGGGGGAAGCAACAGTGGGAGGGCTTCTAGTGTCCTGGCCCCACTGGTGGACCTCCCGAAGGCACCTGGTATTTTGGCCGCTGTGTGACAGAGTGTTGGACTGGATGGGCCATTGGCCTGATCTAACACTGGCTTCTCTTATGTTCTTACGTTCTTAATTCATTTCTGTACTGCCATAGAGCCAGTTCACTTTATTCCCTGCTGAGCTGACTCTGGTACTGGCAAAGTAACTGCTGGTATAAACTTGTGACAATATAAAAGCAAATACATTCTTCTTACTATCAGATTCCTTCTCTCTTTTTACTATGTCTTTTCACTATGTTCTGTGTGTTTAAAGTGAAGGTCTGTAGGAAGTATTCAATTTAAAAATTCTACAAAAAAAAAGTCAAGGCATTAGAGGGGATGTATGGCCCAATCACCTAATAAGTGCAACCTCAGTATGAAACCCTCTGTGTCACACTGGCCATATTTGTTAGCATGTTAAATACTTGCAGCCTAGTCCTACCTATGTTTATTCAGAAGTCCCACTGATTTACTTTGCTTAATAATGTACAGTCTTTTTGTCTACTGTGACAGCTTTGCTCATCTAAACAAGGCCTTTTGAAGGTGCCACCCTGAAAGCCTATGAATACAGCAGCTACTCACACTTTACATCCATAGAATGTGTATGTGTTTTAACTTTCAGCAACAGTATCAAAATACCTTTTAGTTCCAGATTATGGGATTAAAAACATGGCAGCTCTTATCCAAAAGAAGAAACCATTTACTGAATGCAGCCATGGAAACAACTGAATAGGTGTTACTTCACTATTCATTTTATATTTGTTCCCTGTATATTACCCCTATTTTATCTAAGTTTCCAGGCAGATCTGATACAATACACACACACACATACTCCTTGCAGATTTGACCATAATAAATGAAATGTAAAAATATACAACATAGTGTCCAATTACACATACTTTACTGTGCTTCTGGAATTTGCTAGTTCAATGGGCTAATCCTAAATACATCTATTCAGAAGTAAGTAGCATTGTAATGAATGGACATTAATATTTGTAAAATGTTCATAACCCACTATTTGATTTAAAACTATCCAATGTTTAGATGGGAAGAGGAGAGAACTGAGGAAGATCCTGCTGGCTTGCTGCAGCAACTGAGGTTCATTTAGGCTGACAGCCCACTTCTGCAGGTATTGGGGGGGGCAGAGACATGATGACTCTAATCGCTTTTGGCTCTTAGTCTGTAGTTTTCAGCCTAGGACCTGTACAAAATCAGTTTGCCAGATCCAAACTAGCTGAGATTTGTTTGTTCTTGTTGTTTTGCAGTTTAGGGCTTTGTGTGTGTGTGTGTGTGTGTGTGTGTGTGTGTGTGTGTGTGTGTGGGCACTGCTTTAGGTCTCTGGGGTAGGGGGGTGAGCAGCCTAAAAATACTCGCATAAATAAAAGTTTCCTTGTTTCACAATAGATGTTCATCCTTTATTAAGCCAAAGGGAACAAAACTAAGCAGAGATCAGGTCTTGTATTAAAGAATCTGGGGTATTTAAGCACATCACTGCTTTGTCATTTCTTGTACAACCTTCTAGAGGTACAACCTCTACTTTCACCACTGGTAGTACTTGAACACTAACATTACATCCTTATATCCCCCAAGAATAGAGCCATATCAGCTGCTTATTGTTCCAGCTCTGGAGTGGGTGCCTCTAGGGTTATTTTAAACATATTACATGTTCAGTAAATGCAAAATGCATCTGAAAAACTGCAAGCATGCTAATCCCCCAGCAGAGAGGAAAAGAGTAACTTTTATTGAATTCACTTTTGTTAGTGTATGTACGACCTTTTGGCTAAGCAGGTGAGTGCAGAATTCTGCACTCTTTAATAATTTATTCTAGTACTTGTCTAACATAAAGTGTTTCTTCTCTCTCAACACATTTACTACCTGGAATAATACCTCAACCAGAATGGATCAAGCTACACAGAGCCTAAGTATTTTAGCACCTAAGAATGTAAACTACAAAATCCTTAGTCCAACTGTTAGGTCAACCATGAACTCTTCTGGTTGACCTAGGCAAACCAGATTTCTTACCCACACGAATCTGCAGTTTAGAGATAATAATACCAATCTACCTTACAGAATTGTTGGAAGGATTTCTGAGTATTTTGAACATTCCAAAAGCCTTTTTTTTTAAAAAAAGCTGAAGGTATAGTGCAACAAAACACAGCCAAACTGGACACAAAATCATATTAAAAAAAAGTTTTTAGAGGAATGTATAGCTAATGGACTACCTGACCAATCAAGAATTCCTTATTCCATTAATAAGCCTTCTACCTAAATGAATGTTACCTGTCACTCACATGGGTTACTTTACCTTCCCAAAGCTCAACCTTGATATGGGAAAACAGATCAGGATTCATATACTCAGCACTTTGACCTAGGAACAAGCAGGTGGATCCATTCACAGATCAATACCCGTTTTCACTTAACCGATCCAAAAAGTCACACCCCTCCAGGGATAACTACGAAGGTAAGCCATTGAACAAGTTACCCGTTTTCTGAGTTAGGAACACTGTAGCAATGCAGTTTATTTTCTTAAGTACGGGGGAGGGGGGCACTGTAAGGGGGAAGAGAACTAGTTTTCTCCAGAGAACGTCACTTATTCCAAGCCACTTCAGTTCCACAAAACAACGAGCGCACTTCACTCATTTCAAACCCTGCAGCTCCCGTTGCCAGGAGGCGGGGGGAGGGGGGAGGCGTGCATCCCGCAAGGCAGAGCTCGATCTCACCTGTGTGCCTGCTGCCCCCTGCCCAAAAGGTAGCCGACCTGTATCGTGAGCGAGACGACAGCCCCCTCCCCCTCCTGGCGGGGGGGGGGCGTTTCCTGGGGCAGGCAGCCGGGAGAGAGAGGCTGAGGCGCAGCAAGTCGCTCTCCTTCTGCCAGGCCTCCGCCGACGGCGCTTCCATTCCCCCCCCCCCCGCCAGTCCCCTGCCACCCCACCGGCAGCTGCCACCGGGACAGAGGCGGAAGGTGAGGGAGGCGGCGTCTCTCTCTCTCTCTCGCCTGCTGGCAGCCACGGCGGCACCCGCATCTCCTCCTCCTGCCCACCTCCTTCGCCCGGGCGCCGCAGCGCTTGTAGCCCGTGGTCTCACCCGGTCCCTCCCGGTGTCCCAGCGGGGCCCCTCCGGGCACCCTCCACGGCCTCGGTTACCTGGTTCCCAGAGACACTTTGGTGACGCCTCCAACATCGGCAAACACTAAAGAGAACTGACCCCGCCGCGCCTCGGCCCCCGGCGGCCACAACCAACCACTTCATCAACCCCCGCTGGCCGGCCACGAACACAGGCCCGTAGTCGCCGCGGCCCGCTACTCGGGCGCCGCCCCAGAGCCGCAGCCTAGGCCTCCCCGGCCCATCCCGCTATACGGCCGCCCCGCCAGAGGCCTCCCCGCGCGGAACGCGCTCCATCACTCCCCCCTCTTCTGCCAGCACAAATGGCCCCGTCCGCATCCCCTTCCCTTGCGCCTCCCGGGCGATGCAGAATACCCCACGCCCCCTAGCGGGAGCTCCGGCTGCAACGGGACTGCTTTTCGCACAGCAAGAGAGCGGAGCCGGACCCATGAATTAGCGAGAGCCCGGCCGAGACACAGGCGTGGGGTTGGACGCAAAGATCCTCAGGAAACAAAAGAACCTCCTCAGGAAGGCTCCTCCATTAGCATGTCCATAGCCTGGGGATGACTCAGCCCTACCCACCTTCTGGAGTAGATATAAATTTACTGCCTACCATTTTCTTCTCACCTTGACATAGAGAGTATTCCAACTTTCTGTGTTTATACCTCTGAGGATGCCAGTCACAGTTACTGGCGAAACGTCAGGTTCTATAATGCCAAGACCACGGCCACACATCCCGGAAAATCTACAGCAACTAATGAACTCCAGCCTTGAAAGCCTTCGACAACAAATTGCTACTAACTAGAAATATTCCTGACCTTCCAACCCCAAAAGAGAACATTTTCCTCAGTGTTTTAAAAAGAGCCCAGAAGAGGATGGATACCAAAAAAAGAGGACATATCTTCTAAAAAGAGGGCATCTGGTAACCCTACTTTAGTCAGTAATGTGTTTATCCTCTCCCCCCCCCCATGACATTTCTTGGTCCTCTGATCCTGCTGAGCCTTTTCACAATTTTTTTTATTTTCAGTTTTGCATTTATTTTTGCCTAGTAAGGACTGGCTACATGCATGCAACCAAGAGGCAGGCTCTAATCCATGGAAGTTAACCTTTGAAGCAAGTGACAAATTTTATCCTAAGGTTCATGCAGTCTACAGTTTTGTTGTTTAACCAAAAAACTTAATGATAAGAAGAAAATGCAAACATTACTGCGACTATCAGTGTCACCTTCCTGGGAATAAACCACGTTAAATATACCTGAGTAGGATTCAAAGTAGACCTGCTTAGAATTGCACTGCAAAATAAAATAGCTAGTACAACAAACTAAGTAGGATCACACATTTTTGTCTTGGCTCAGGAAGGATGGCTGTAGAGCAAACTAATTTATGCAGTCGCCAAATCGCTCGCTCATAATTTTAATGCCAATAGCTCACAAAGTAGATTTTTTTGCTCACAGGAGTCCATTCTTGAAACAAGATTAGAGGGGGGGGGGGAATCACAAGGCACCAACTCTGAGTCCTAAATCAGAGGACCTATGTTATAGTCCTATGCATGGTGCTCCACGGTACACAGTGGGACTTGGGAGTTTACAATGCAGTCAATATATGTCATGTATTTAAAGCCATAAAACCCAGGCCCATAACCAAGATTTTTTAATTCAGGGGGCCTTTAAATAAGTCAGGGGGCACCCTGCACAGACACACACACCCCCAAGGGAGCACCATAAATAAAATTAAAAGTTGGAAGTTGGGGAGCTTGTGGTGGATGGGAAGTTGGGGGGGGGCTTGGCAGTAAGTCATGGGGGGGAGCAGGCCCTGGGAGGCCCCACTGTAGCTACAGGCCTGATAAAACCTAATATAAAAATCTTTGCTTGAAAAGAAACAAATTGAAAAGAAATATACTAATAAACTCCCCCATCTCCAAAGCTAATCTAGTTGCGTCCTCCCCATAGTTCTCTCTCCCACCAATAGTTGATAGAAGAAGGGATTGGAATCAGAGTGCAAAAGGACTTCCCTTTCCCTGCTATATCCTTCTGATTCGCCACTTGCTTTCCTAAGCTTTTTATGGAGAAAAAAAGTCATCAGACAGAAAGGCTCAAAGGAATGAGTTATGACCCTCACATTCCCTTCATTTTTGTTTAAACTCCCCAAGGTACCCACTGGAATTCAGGGTTCCTTAGGGGGCACTTCTCTCCCCCTCACCCAGCTGGGGTGACATCAATATGCCGATGACACCTAGCTATTTCTGTTGATGGGCTGGCAGCCGGATACAGTCCCCAGGAATTTGGGCGAGGGTTTGGATGCTGTGGTAATATGGTTAAAGCAGAGTTGGCTGAAACTGAATCCAGGTAAGATGGAGGTTCTGTGGCTTGGGGGGGGGGGAGCCTTAGTTAGGTTGCCAATTCCCTCTTGAGGGTGTGCCTCTGTCACCAGCACAGACTGTCAAGAGCCTGGGTATAACATTGGATCCCTCCTTGTCTATGAAGGCCCAGGTTGCAAAGGTTGCCAAGCCGGCATTTTTCCAACTGTGCCAATTTAGGCAACTGGCTTTCTACCTCTCTTGCCCCGACCTAGCCACAGTAATCCATGCAACTGTCTCCTCCAGGATAGACTACTATAATTTGCTGTACATGGGCCTATCTTTGCGCCTGACTCAAAAGCTCCAGCTGGTCCAGAACGCAGCCATGCAGGTCCTTACCGGGACCCCTCAGACAGCATACATCCAACTTGTGCTGCATGAACTGCACTGGCTTCCAGTGGAGCACTGTATCAGGTTCAAGGTTTTGGTCTTGACCTTCAAGGCCCTTAGCAGTCAAGGACCTACATACCTTCGGGGCTGCCTCTCTCAGTATGCTCCTGGAAGAGTGTTGCGCTCAAGGAATAAGAATCTCCTGGTGGTCCCCAGCCAGAGAGAGATCCGGCTGTCCTCAACCAGGACCAGGGCTTTTTCAGCCCTGGCCCCTGCCTGGTGGAACTCTCTGCCAGAAAACATCCGTGCCCTGCAGGAATTACTACCATTCCACAGGGCATGTAAGGCAGAGCTGTTCCGCCAGGCATTCAGTTGAGGACAGCAATGGGGACAGTATGACATCTGGCACTTTCATATACTCTCCCTCTCCCTCACAACCTCTTACCCTAAGGAGGCTGGAGAGCAGTGTTCCCTCTAAGCTGTGGAGTCTTGTGAGCAAAAATTCTACTTTGTGAGCTACTGGCATTAAAGTAGTGAGCAAATAATTTGGCTGCTGCATTAATTAGTTTGCTCTGGAGCCCTCCTTCCTGAGCTGAGACAAAAATGTGTGAGCCAGAGGCTAAAAAACTGTGAGCTAGCTCACACTGACTCAGCTTAGAGGGAACCCTGCTGGAGAGCTGAATTTCCCACCGCCATCTTGGACTGTATACTGTTTTATTTGATCTTTTTTTGGTAGTTTTAATGTTGGTTTTAATTTAAATTATTTATTGTATGCTATTCTGTTGTAAGCCGCCCTGAGCCCCACTTATAGGGAAGGGCAGCCTAGTGAATCTAAATAAATAAAATTCTATCCCACTCCATTCCCTGCCAAACACGGCTCAGGGCAGCTTACAACAATCAAAACACAATAATTCAGCATATTACAATTTCAAATCCACATTATTATAAATTAAAACCTAAGACAAACCATGAGGATACGATACAGCAAAATAAAGTTCAATAATCAAGATTTCCATGGTGTGATCCACTACAGCATGGCAAAGGGGGCCTTTTCAGATCTTTAAGACAGGACAATGTCATCTTAAAATGGGTCACATTAGATATCTTTTGTTAACTTTCTCTCATGGTTATAATGGTACCAAATATGAAAAAGCTAGCTAGATTGTGTAGATATATATTCAAGAAGCAACATTTACAAATGTGTATTTTAATAAGCTGATGCTGAAAATGTGGGTCTCATAAATTTTTTCAAATGCAGAATCATAGACCAATGGAGGAAATTATACCTTTATTTCTTGGTCTAATGACCAGCAAAAACGATACTGGTATGGTACACAACAGGTTGCAGTTTTTCTAATTTTTGCCCTGCAATTCCCTTGCTTTCACTTGTCTAAAAATGGTCTGATTATCCTTTGTATAATGTATTTAGCAAACCTTGATTGCTCAGAAATGATGGAGATGGGCTATCAGTGTGCCCACTTCTTCCCATAGGCTGGCAAGTTTAGCTTATCCAATCACATCAAAAGTTATAGGTTCTAATATCTTGGACTTGAGGGCTATGATAGGGCATTCAGCTGTCCTCTCCCAGTTTGGTGTTGTGGTTAAGTGCGCGGACTCTAATCTGGGAGAACCGGGTTTGATTCCCCACTCCTCCACTTGCACCTGGCTAGATGACCTTGGGCAAGCCGTAGTTCTGATAAGAGCTGTCCTTGGAAAAGAGCAGTTTCTGTCAGAGCTCTCTCAGCCCCACCAACCTCACAGGGTGTCTGTTGTGGGGAGGGGAAGGGAAAGGAGTTTGTAAGCCACTCTGAGACACCTTTCGGTAGTGAAGGGCGGGGTATAAATCCAATCTCTTCTTCTTCTTCTTCTTCCCCTACATGAAGTTATCACGATCAGATCAAAGAATTCAGTGAGGCAAAACAGACAAGGAAGTGGCACTTTTGCAGTAGTGCAGCACTACAGGAAAATTCTTGCACCTTAGATTTTTAAATTTAATTTGTGTGGACCAGAATTTGTACCCTGCAGAACATGGAAACTTTGTGGAACATTTTTAAACAGAGTCCTGTAGCACCTTAAAGACGAACAAAATTTGTGATAGGGTATTTATTTATTTATTTATTATTTAAATTTATACTCCGCCCTCCCCTGTAGGGCTCAGGGCGGCTTACAGGCAAGATAAAACTTGCAACATAAAACAACAATACAAAATTACCAAAATATATACATTTTAAAAGCATATTATACAATTTAAAAACCCATCCTCAATCACATGGAAGTGCTCGGTGAAACCAGGACTCCCAACCCCCCAAAAGATGGCGGGATAGTAGGAGACAGTCTATAGTGTCGCTATTTATTCAGATGTTCCAAAAGATCTTCCCGGGCTCTTTTCAAGGCCTCCACCAGCCCCCCCCCAGATGGTAGCATAATGGGGGGGGCAGCGGCCCCTACTCAAAAGCCTGGTGGAAGAGCTCCGTCAATTTCACATCCCTGGGGCCCGGAATAGATAACAAGTTTTGGGCCCCAGACCGTAGTGCTCTTGGGGGAACATACGGGGAAAGGCGGTCCCTCAGGTAGGTTGGACCCAGGCCATATAGGGCTTTATAGGTAAATACCAGCACTTTGAAGCGAATCCGGTACGCT